TTAAAGGTGGGGTAGGTAAGTTTGAGAAACCGGCTCAAGATATCTGACAGTAAGTGCTTTGACAATAAATCCATAAAAAATATCATCTGTGGAAGCCTTAGTACTGTAAAAAGCACGACCAATCATCTGAGCCGGCCTGGCTAAAATAACTGGATGGCCTACCTGCCTGTCAGCCTTCCATCTGTGCACAAACTTATCTCGTGCCCTCATTGGTCATGTGCGCGTTTGTGTGTGTTGGAGGAGGGGCTCTGTAAGGAAGTGGCAGATTTGTTCCGGCTGTGTATTTTCAAATTCTAGCGCACTCGAGCTGGTTTCTCCAAAATTACCTACCCCACCTTTAAACAATGAATTGATAATCAAGAGCGTCTTGATCAATTTATTAGCCCAGGAGACATTTCTTTGGTCTTTCTCCAAATGACTACAAAGCATTTAATTTTAAGGATTGTTCAATTGACTTGATGTATGAGGTGTTAACTAACAGTGTACTAATGTAACGTAGAGCCTGGTGTTGCCGTGTGTAGACGTAGAGCCGGCTGATAAACCCATCCTGATCAAAGATGAGAGCGCAGAGGAGGACAACCTGAGTGAGTTCAAACACTTCCTTACTTGCCAACTTTATACATTTAGAAATGTATTTAACATTCTTTAACATCCATCCATCCTTAGTCTCCGAAGTGGAGCAGCCTCCATTTCTCCACGCCTCCGAACATCCCCACGTCGACAGCTATGCAGAGCGTTATCACTCCTCTGAGACTCCAGCAGACCCTGGACTTCTGGTTTCTGTAATAGACGGATACGACGCTTTCCCAGAGCAGCAGCTGAGCACAGAACAAACTGAGGTCGAGTTCGTAGTGAAACAAGAGGAACAACCCGACGAGAACGAGGCTCCTCTTGAATCAGCCCACATCTTTGAGGCAGAGGAAGGAGACGGACAGCTGTGGTCGACCAATCTGTGCAGAGACGATGTTGGTCCGAGCTTCTCGTACGCTGAGCATCAGTTTGAGACGAATCCCTCTGTGTTCCCGTCTGCATTGGAAGACATGGGGCCTCAAATTCACTCCGTAGGGAAATCACATCCAGTTACAGTGAACGCAGCACGAGTGAAAAGACGAGCAAGGACGTTTGGGTGTAAGAGAGCACAACAAGATGAAGGACACTTATCTCACAATAACACCATGGATCAGTGTTTAATTCCTCAGCAATCGCAGCATCAGTTCAGAGACTCGGCCCAAAACGAGGATGTGACGCCTCCGAGCACAACGTCTTCTTTCCGCAGTAACTTCGGCCTGGCGAGGAGGATCAGGACGCCCTGGAGGACGGGCATCGGAGAGAAGAGGTACAGCTGCACGTTCTGCAACAAGATCTTCATGAGGTTCAGTCAGCTGAAGGAGCACCTGAGGAGCCACACGGGGGAGAAGCCCTTCAGCTGCGTGCAGTGCGGACGCAGCTTCACGAAGCAGTGCAACCTGATCCGGCACGCCGTGGTGCACAGCGGGGAGAAACCCTTCCACTGCGCGCTCTGCGGGAAGAGCTTCACGCAGCGCTCCAGCCTCAAGTCGCATCAGAAGACGGCACACTAATAATAATAGATTACATTTCTAAGCGCCTGTCAAGGGACCCAAGGCCACTTTACATGGTGAACAAACAAACAAACAAAAGGGGCAAATAATAAAGTAAGAAATGTAAATTTTTTATTTTATTTTAACTAATGCTGTTATATTTTAAGAGTGTCCATTATCATCTGGCCGGGGACAACAGCTGGAAATGAGCCATGTTGGCTGAAGCTGCCCCATTTACTGTTCTTTGTGACAGTTGATCGATGGGGACTGTCCACGACACTATATACAAATAAACTACAATGACATAAATAGCAGTAGGAGTGGAAGCAGGGGGACTGCGATGGGTTAGGGGTCAAACACTGAGATCACAGGGGCGGATTTTATAAATCCTGTGTTCAGTTACTTCCATGTTTCTTGAAACATCTTGAACCTGGATCTTGGGGATTCGTTAGATAAAAAAAAGTTTGGTTATTTGTTCTACATTGCTTTGTTTATAAACTGTTTTTTATTCTTTGTCATTTTGATACAAGAAACTAGTCTGGAATCATCATTTGATAACCAAGCGAGAAGTTCTGTATTCAAGATTCAAAGGTTTATCGTCATGTCATATACGCAGTTACGGTAATTATGTGATGTATGGAAAACTTAGATTGCAAGTTCCTCAACAGTGCAATTACAAGACATAAAAATGGAAACATTTGGTCTATCTACGCTGTAAAATGTATTATCTCTTAGATTTACACTTGGTCTGTCCGTCCTGGGAGAGGGATCCCTCCTCTGTAGCTCTCCCTGAGGTTTCTCCCATGTTCCCCTTTAAACTGTGGGTTTTCTCTGGAAGTGTTTCCTTGTACGATGTGAGGGTCTAAGGACAGAGGGTGTCGTATTGTCATACTGATATTCTGTACAAACTGTGAAGTCCACTGAGACAAATGTAACATTTGTGATATTGGGCTATATAAATAAACATTGATTGATTGAAATAGTGCAAGCTCAGGTGTTGAATAGTCTTATGGCCTGTGGGATGAACTGTCCCTCAGTCTGGTGGTCCAAAGTTGGTCCAAAGTTTAACTAAAAATCATAA